ACCATCAGCCCACAAAATCTGTTACCCATTCTCTCTCTCAGTCTATCGTACGTCTAAAACATGTCTAAATGTTAACAATAATTAAACAAATCACATAAAGGTCATGTTTGATATTTGATTATTAAATGTACATACACTATTTACATACTAATTCATATAGTTTTTCTACGTGCAGATTATTTATAGAGCACAATAAGACATCAAATAAAATTATTATATACTAAATATAGTAACACAATAAAAATCACAATTAATTAAACATAGAAAGTCTCTTATATAATGAAATATTTTTGATTTTTATCTAAATGTAATAGTCTACATAAGTATAACAATTTAATTATTTTACGTTAAACAATTAAATATTTAATTTAAAATAAATATGTTTTTATAATGTAACTTATTTCTTGATAGTTTATTTTATTGATACGTAATATTTAAACCATGCTTATTTTAAAAATTAATTTGCTATTAATTAGTCAAATTTATAAATAATTTAAACTTATAGATGTCTAATTTCACCCAGTTGGGACCGCAATTTTTGAGTTGTAGTAATAAGATTAACATTGGATTCCATGTAAATTCCCATTGGGTGGAGGAAGAGGGCAGGGATAGCGTTGACACCATATAAACCATATTCTTCTAATATAAATTTTGGCTAAAATTTGTATATGAATTAACCATACTAAATCATATACCCCAAGATCATGTTACTAGCATTGTGTGAATTTAGTTTGTTACAGTTTGACGCAACGTATCTCTCTCTCTCTCTCTCTCTCTCTCTCTCGTGAAAATTGCAAACAATATTTGTAATTTTACTTTATATTACATTTCCAGAATAATATGAATATAATAATAATGCCGGCGATTAGTGTCCAACAAATGGCCAAATACTTAGCCATCACTATAGCGTTGGTGGCAATAATGTCGGATGTGGTACCAGTGCTGTCAATGCCCGGCGCAGCCCATAGTAAACTATATAAACATGTGATCCGATCTCGTTCAACACCAAGACGCTATTGTGGCAGAAATTTAGTTAACATGCTCAGCCTATTGTGCGATGGTAACTACTTTAGCCCAAACAAACGAAATAATATTAATAATAATCAACATCAAAATAATCAGCATAATAATAATCATAATAATTTTGATAATCTCAGTAATGGTTCGTTAGTAATTTTATTTAATATTTTTTGGTTATAATTGTTTAGTAATATTATTAACAAATCTAAAATTTTTATAAATATCAATTAATTATTTAGATAATTAATTTTATAAATATAGTGATACTGTACATAATCTAATTTTTCTAATTATATTTAAATGTTTATTTATTGCCCATATAATAAAAGAAATAAATTATAATTTCTACTAACAAACAAGTAAAACTATCATAACTATTAATACAAATGAGTATTGCATTAATTATTGTGACATTTTAATTGTATTCAATACTATTATTAAGGTATCTCAGAGTTATGGGCGGACTTAAATGGCGCGACCGACAGTCTAGGCTCGGCTGTGGGCGACGATCACGACTACAGCGCCGGTGATATAAGTCCACTATTGAGTAACAAATACTTTTTGGACGAGAAGACAGCGCTCGACATGTTTAACGACGCGGCCGGCGGTCAGACGGAACGGGAGGGCGCCGTCCGTAACAACCGGTTCGCCCGCAATCGGCGCGGCATTGTTGACGAGTGCTGTCGGAAACCCTGTACTGTTAAGGAGCTGTACAGTTATTGCGAATAAATTAGCCTAGATGATATTTTAATCATTTTAAATTAGTAGTTTTGCTTAATTTAGTTATTATTGTTAATTGACATGATTGTAATTTCTAATTTTATGTGTTAATTGCCGTATACTTAATTTAATTCTAGTTAGATATTAGCTAGTTCACCATGAGCTTATTAAATATACAGTGTACTAGTTTGTATTATTAATAGCATTAATGTGAAATTTGTTCAGTAAATTACAAATGTTTAATAACTTTTTAAATTACTTAATTGAATAATTTTCAAGCTGACTATTATTGTGTTCAAAATTAAATAATAATGTTATTATAAATCACTAATACATAATATTTCCGTTAGAATACTAACCATATCAATATATGAGCTTGTTATGTATTAACAATTAATTTATAAATACAATTTAATACAAAACTTATTTATATTTTTAAAGCAATTTTTGCTAATAATGTTCACCTTGTAAATGTTCACAAATGTTAATGATAGAAATAATTTAATAATGATTTATTAACATATAACTATCAGGGTATTAAAATTTATATACATATTTTAATGTATGCTAATTTATCAAATTAATGTATTAATTAAACACACTTGTTCAAACTAACACAAACTAATCAATTAAATTAAATTTAAATTATATAATTTTTAATTAACAAACATTACAAATATATACAAAAAATAGATACTATACAAATTATAAAATAAATAAAAATTACCATTAAATAAAAATTGTTTAAAATAAGGTTTTTTGTTTGAAAAATAGAAATTACACAATAAATAAAGTGAAAGTAAATTTGTTTTTCCCAAAAATAAATGCTTTAATTATTACATAAAACACAGTTTGATATAAAGTCTGTAAGTGTTGTGTCGCAGACACTGTTTATTGAAATATACAGTTAGCTCAGAGACCCACTAACCTGAAGGTTATTTGAGATTCCCGGCCCCCACCCCTCAGTCCCCTCTACTTATTTGTATTAACTACAGTTATGGGATCGGGAGGGAGAGTGCGAGAGAGATAAGTGTAAGTAATGATGATAATAGTATTATTTTTGTAAACAGGTGAAAGTAAAAACAACTGTTATATCATGGGCGTTTAAGAAAATAAAAGTTCATTGCTCTAACTTATTTCTAAGGAGGGTGGCTCAAGGTGATTTATTTTTGGTTTCCATTTTATCTAGATTAAACAAATATATTATTGTCATTTCTTCATCAAATTTTTATAGAAATATTAATTTAATTTTATATTATTGGTAAAATTCGTATAAAAAATATTTTCCCTTTAGTGAATGCCTTCATATCTGCCAAGTATTAAATAAACATTTATTTATTATGTATAGTAAATACAGTTTTTAAATTAATTACAGTTTGGATAGAATGATATGAACTAAAAACTAAATAATATTAACTGCTACAATTTAAATATTAATAGTTTATTTGAATTATAATACACTAACCATCAGCCCACAAAATCTGTTACCCATTCTCTCTCCCATTCTATCCCCTCTATAGTTTCACTACTTTTCTACCCCCAATTATGTGTAACGCTTTTTAGCAATGTCTCATTTACAATTTATTATATATATGATATGATATAACATATTAGATTATAATAAATATAATATTTGTTTCTATCATGCATAGTGTATGTAGCATATTCATAACCAGGAATTATCCAATTGGCCACTGTATAATCTAATGTCTATGGGTGCATATGGACAAAGCCTACTTTTTGGCAAGTTCTGTACATAACTGTGTAATAACATCTCACAGACCCACTGACCCGAAGGTCGTTTGTTTAGCACCTGTACCTCTCGTATACAGTTAGAGAGGGAGAGAGAGAGAGAGAGAGAGACTTAAACGTTAAACTTACATTAAACGTTACATTAAACATTATATATTGGATTTATCAAGATCAATAGTGCAGTATGTCTTTTATTATAAATCTATATGAGCATTGATTGAACTATTTTAGAAATTTTTTAATACTACTAATATTATTATTAAAATATATGTACAGTATTAAGCTAAAGTTTTGAAGTATTTACGTAATTTATTTAGTTGGTTGTAAATTGTTAATTTAACAAGTTGTTCATTTTAATAAAATATTAAATTAAAAGATAATATACAAGTATGTAAATAATAATAATTAATATCACAATTAGTTTTGGTGTACTACAAACTTACTATAGTTTACTCAACCATTAAGAATTTTTTGTAAAAACTTTATTATATAAGTTATTATATAATCAATTGTACCGGTACACAGCGTGACCACCTGTGCTCTATTTCAGAGAACAGTTCTCTATTTGGACCTGTATTTGGACAAAATAGAGAACTGTTCTCTATTTTAAATTAACAGCTTCATTACGAAAACTTTTCATTACAGAGACAGAGAGAGAGAGAGAGAGAGAGAGAGAGAGAGATTAAACATTGATTGTAAATTGTAAACAAGTGAAAGTAAAAACAAAAATTTTTAAGATAACGTATAAAAATATCTAGAATAGGTTCATTGCTCTTGTATTGTTATGTACTGTGGTTCAAGGTGGCTCGAGCTTGTTTGTTGTTTGATATTGTTCAATGATTAAGACCCAGATCATATGATTTATAAAAGATATTCAGAATTCAAATTAATTTCTTTAATAATTTAGATTACTTATTTATTATGAGTTATTTAATAATGTACTGTAATAGAATACCGTAAAATGTATTGAAATATATTCTACAATTAATTTCAAATCACTATGGTATCTAAAACACTATTTTATATTAGAGTTATTATTTATAGTTAATTTAATTTATTTTAAACAAATTAAGATACTCAAGCATAATTTTAACATTTTCTAGAAATATTGCATCAAATTAAATATTGCACATTTACACAACATTGTCATTTATAATTTAGTCAAAATTAATTAGTTTAATACAAAACAAATTATTAAAACAAATTTTAAAATATTTTATTTTATTTTAGTATTTTAATTAAATGTCAGCAATACAAATCATTTTTGAATAATTAAACAAGAACAATTTATTTATCACGTTTCCAAACGCGCATGGCCTGATTCCGGGGGCGAACCTCACCAGTCGACTCTTCAAACACTAGTCCATAGTCCGGATATTTAACGTTATTGCCCCAGTAATAGGTGCCGGAAAACACGGGCGCACTTTTACCGCCCAGTTTTAGCTTGCTGGCCGACGATTTTGTATGCACATTCTTTTGGGAACTTACCCCGGTCACTACCGGCGCGTGTTCAGCTTGGGTAACACCAAAAGGGGCGGCGCCGCCACCCGTTACCCTAAAAAACAGACCCCCATATGTTTGGCTAACGTCTACCCAATGGGTGTTTGGCCATATATGACCAGGCTCCTGTTGCCCACCCAACTGAACGTATATATAGCCAATGGGTACTGGATTTTTAAGTAACTGATCGAGGGATCTAGTGTTTAAAGATATGTGCATATGAATGTCGCTAATACTACTCCATATGGCTGCAATTATTTTACCATCAACAGTACCATTGGGCGAATGAATGAGCGCCTCTATGTCGGTAACATTTTGCTTCAGCTCCTGTATCTGTTTCTCATCCCTGGCCTCATAGGACTCAACGCTTGACTCGATTGCGTTAAACCGCTTGTCGTAAGCGATGTTACGCTCAGCGATCTTACCCTCAATAGCAGTAACGTTGTGTTTGAGAGGCTCCAGAATGTTGTGCCGTATTCTTGATAGGTCCGCATCCGTGGCCACCAAATTGGTCTCGATGTTACCGATACGCGTATTGTATTTAGCTAGCTCATTATCGCAATGCTTTGCGCTGGCATCTAGCTTGGTGGTTAATTGTTGAACAGTACCGATTAGGGTGTTTATTATGTCGATTGACTTATTTTGTTGGGCCAGCATGTATTTTTCAAATTCATGAACCTCGTGTTGAATTTTTGCGACACTTTGTTCATATATCTCTTGGTTTGATTGAATTGTTTTTGTTACTTTTTCAAATTCACCCAGCATGTAGGTTTCAACGCTATTCAAACGCTCCTGTAGACTATCCAGGGTAACAATGACCGGTTTCTGGCAAACAAACCCCGCCTGACCCGTGCACTCCCTGCTAACCCATTCACCCATAGGGTTTGAGTCTACGGTCATTCGCACACACATACCGTCCCTCGTTATATTGTCGGTATTTTTCCACTCGGTAAACTCAGCGTGCTCATAATTATCTGTCCACGCTAGTTTATGGTTTTTAATAGTTGCTCCCAGCCATATGTCCGTGGTTATTTTATTTTCACCATAGATTAGTTTGGCCATAAACTTTTGCTCTTGGATTGAGTGTATGGTGAGTAGGCTCGAGCTCTGGTCCTGTAGGTAACAGTAGGCCCGGGCCTCGTCGTAGGTCATGGCCGGTGCCGTTGGGTATAGTTTTAAGCATTTTTGCCTGTCGTATACACTCCAGTCGTTGCCACCACAATCGCCCAATGGTGAGCCCATAATTGAAGCTAGGCACAAATTTAATATAATTATTTTTGCTAATTTGTTTTAAAAATGTAAATTTAAATAATATATTTATATAAGATCTTGGACATAATATTTTTAACTTATTATAAAAGTTATACAATCTTGTGTAGCTAACCCATACATCTTATTTACTACATTGTGTCTAAATTAAATATAAACTAATATCATAATTACAGTCTTATACTAATGATTAAATAAAGTATATTATTATCAAATATTTAATAGAGTAAATTAACATGATGTATTAAAATAAATAAATAATAATTATTTATATTTTATATAACTTACCAAATAAAACTAAATTGCTACATAAACACAAATATAATAATTTATACATGATTAACAAAAATCGTTAAATTTTAATAGCATCAAAATGAAATCACTTTATTATAAAGAACAATAAACATTACCATCTTATATAATATTTAATTATCGCATATAAATAGCGTAGGATTATTAGTTATTGCACTTGAAAGTGTTAACCTCTC